GTTGACTGTACGTGTTTTTACGTTTTCCATGTCATCATCAGAAGTTACTAGATCGTGTGACCTGTGTGTAAGTTCTGCATAATTCTTAGAGGGGGTGTCCCACCACCCTCTTACATAGATATTCGTCGAACCTTCGTCTCTATTTAATAACTCACGATCTTTTTTAAACTTTATTTGTCTGTCCAGTATAAACACATTCATATTGACTTACAGAGAGATTTAGATCATTTGCTGCATTAGACCAATACGTGGCAGATGATGTTAACTATCCAAAATGTAAGTTGATGCATGTAGGTTTTCACAATTTAAATGGGAATACATTAAATACTGTGATTGAAGAAAAAAAATCTAGATGTTGTGATCGAAAAATCACTTAAGTCATCTAAACTGTATTGTAGCTAGCAATAGGGCTAATAGGATTTTAGTTAGCATTTATAGAAATATTGAATACAAGAGACTAAAATCTCTAAACTTGTTTTCTCTGGAGAGGAGAAGGGTCAGAGGGGATTTAATTGAAGTGTTTACGATTATTAAGGGTATAGATAATATAGTTCCAACAAACTTTTTTTTGTGTGTTTAGCAGTGAAAACAATAGGACAAGGGGCATAATTTCAAATTTTGGCAGCGTAGAAGTCATCTGCAGTTTGGACAGTATTACTGTTACGTATCTGCTCGTTTGTTAATTTCCGGTATACACTCTTTTCGAGGAACTTCAGCGATACAAGTCCTTTCTTAATTAAAACTAGTTTATTCTTTCTTGATACAAATTTTTGTAATACACAGAATTTCCACAGCCACTTTAAACTTAACAACCTTTATTGCACTCGCTATAAACCACAATAATTCACACACTTTACTTACGGTTCCTACTGTTCGTTTGACTCAATTATCTATCTCTTCAACCTATCTGCATATCTCTCTATCGTTGGCTTTATTTGCCGGGCTTATATACTAAAAAAGAGGGCGCCTGGCAAACACACGGACTTTTGCGGGGTTCCTCGATGATTCATGATCCTTCTAGAAACTCTAGCGCGCATGCTCCCAGCGTTGCGTGACTTTCGCTGTCGTAACATTACTTTTCAAACAAGGTGGTTGGCTTTTGGAATGAGCTGCTTTCAAGGGTGGTAGAGGCAGAAACTTTAACTGAGTTCAATAAAAGATTGGATGAATACATGAGTAGTAAGAGGTGGTTATAGTTGGGAGCTGGAAGGGACATCCTTGATGGACTAATAAGCTCCTTTTTGTCTTTTTAAAATTTTATTAAATTATAAAAATTTATGAATTTTATAAATTCCAGCTTTTTCCATTAACTATTGTTACGTCTCCGTTTGTTAATTAACTTTCCGTAATTTCGTTCCGACGTAACTTTAGCGACACAAGTCCTTACTTAATAAAACTGGTTTATTCTTTCCAAATACAACTTTACGATACACTTATTTTCAACAATCGTGCTAAAACAAACGTCAATAATACTTCTGACTGCAGTTCAATTACTCACTATCTACACACACATTACCTTACCGTCACGTTGTCACCCTCTTTTATATACCAGACTACCATATATCTAGTAAATGCTAGAGCATTCGCCAAAGTACGGGATAGTTCTAGAAAGTAGAGGGCGTGAGAATAGTCACGTGATCTCGATGACGCAACACTATATATATTATCTTTAGTGTTATCTAAAATTTTTCTATCTTATTTATAAATTTAAATATGGAGTAAAATATTTGTTATTAGTAGTTAATCTTGGAACGTATGGCAACACTAAACATTCCTTTCCTAATTTTATCATAACTGGGTTTTAAGGTAATACCTTGGTCCATTATTACCACATTAATGACTTTATTATCAGCTCCAACTCCTCTTTCAACTGTTATATATACCATTAGTAACAGTTCATTTTTAGGTCCTCTTGTTTTGTAGATATTGTTACGTCTCTGTTCGTTTGTTAATTTCCCGTAAAAATTATTTCCGAAGAACTTCAGCGACATATAAAATAGAGGGCGTCTAGCAAACGCTGGGACGTTCGTGAGGTTCCCCGATCCTTCTAGAATCTCATCACGTGTTACCAGCGTCACGTCACTTCCGCTGTCGACACACTGCCCCTTCCTTAGTATTGCTCGTCCCGAATAATAGCCACTTACATTAAACCAATAGATAAATAACAATAACTTAA